CTTTATTTTGTCTCATAAACCTCAATATTTTCCTTTAATTATATATTAAATAGAGGTTTTATGGTGGTCATGTTTTATACTATAAAAAGGGGACTTTGTGGTTTTGCAAGAGATGGGTGAAGAGAAAAAGAAACACTTTTCATCTATACTATATACATATATTTTGAGCTCTTGTTGTGTGTCGGGTGTAAGCTTCTACTTCACTCGAACGTGCAATTTCGGTGAAGTTACAGCGGAGAGATAGGCTGGGCTGTTGTATCCCATAGACGACACGATCGGAACCTTTTTGCACCTCATTAGAGAAGGGGTCGTGAAATTCGTCTTAAGAGAGCGACCTAGTCCGCGCCTCACCTTGCCTATCTCCATATTATTGTGTATATTATTGCAACTAATCATCAACTATAGAAAGAGAGAGCAAATAGAGTACGAGCTTCAATCCACAAGTTTCGTGATCGTTCGTCAAAGTGCAGTCGTGGTTCCAACATATAGATTGTTGGACTTCAAACCATCTTCCATCTATTTTTGGTGGTGTTAATATAATTAAGATGATTATTGTAGAATTATATTTAGATTAGAAGTTCTAGTTAGATTGTATCTAGACTTATATCACGGAATAATATACAAATCAAATTAATCCTGATACTTTTTCAAGTATTCTAATAGTTGTCACTCCATCCCAGTGATTAGTTAACTTCAACATTAGTTGACATTTGACATTACATTTTTTTTTCCTTTATTTTTTTTTCTTTTATTTTTTTCTCCGGTGGTGGGTTGTTGGAGCTCTGATTAGCTGACTCAACATTAGTTAACTTTTACACTGGTAGACATTTTTTTTATTTTTTATCGGCGGCGGATCGTTAGATCTCCGATTAATTAGTTCACTTAGTATTACTTAACTTAAACATTAAAATTAAAAGTGTCGGGGGCCAGCTAATGCTTCAGCTAATCGAGCCCTAAATACCCATCGCCGGAAAAAAAAAAGATGGTCGGATGTTAGCTAATGCAAAGTGAACTAACGCATAGTCAGCTAATCAGAGCTTCAACGTTCCATTACCGAAAAAATAAGTTAAAAGAAAAAAAGTTGGACGTCTGCTAATATTGAAGTTAGCTAATATGTAATTTGGTAATGCAAATCAACTTATCAGAGTTTTGACAACCCGCCACTGCAAAAAAAACAAAAGAAAAAAATAATAATATTTCAACTAATGTTGAAGTTAACTAATTCTGAGTCAGCTAACCAGTGCTCCGACGAACATCAGTTGGAAGACAAAAAGATGTCAACTAATGTTAAAGTTAACTAATGTTGAAGTTAACTAAGGTTGAATTAGCTTACCGGAGCTCCAACAGCCCACCACAGGAAACAAATTAAAAGAAAAAAAAAAAGATAAAGGAAAAAAAATGGAATGTCAAATGTCAATTTATGTTGAAGTTAACTAATGTTGAGTCAGCTAACCAGAGTTCCGACGACCTGCCGTCGGGAAAAAAAAAAAGACAAAGAAATCAAATGTCGAACTAATTTTGAAATTTACTAATGTCGAGTCAAGCTACCAGAGCTCCGACGACCAACCGCCGGAAAAATAAAATTAAAAAAAAAAAGATAAATAAAAATAAATGTCAACTAATTGAAGTTAACTAATGCCGAGTCAGCTAACCGAAGCTCTAAAGACCCGCCGCCGGAAACAAAAAATAAAGGAAAAAAAATGGCAAATTCCACTTTTCCCCATGTACTTTGGTTCGGTATCGCTTTACCCTCTTCTACTCACGATTGCATTGATTTGCCTTCCTGCACTTGAAAAACTATCTCAATGTGGCTCTCGCTGTTAGTTGTTAGATATTTGACCTTAAACCAATTTGGTCTAAGCTTTGAAATTACAAAAAAACCACATTGAGATAATTTAAAACTAAACATAGCATGATCTAGCATAAATTAATTCCAAATTTAAAAGACAAAGCGCTGAACAAAAGTAATGCACAAATCGTGATTCCTAGCAATAATTCGCTTCAAAGTTCCGTTGCATCGAAAGCTAACCAAACATCTAGTCATCATCACAACAAAACAAGCAATCTCATCATCAAACATTGGTCATATCTCATCATTACAACTCAGCGATGCATTTGACTCCAGCAATATTTTTTTAAAGCAATAATAACAACTAAAAGAAAACAAAACCTAATGCATGTCAATTAAACGCAAATAAATGACAAATAAAATAAATATTTTCCACCCCCAAAC